GGAACTGTGTAAAACTGTAAGTACTAAGGAATGGCCGCGGTGCTAGTGTAAGTAAGTAGTCGCCTGCCACGACGGGTTCGCACGGCTAATATGTTCCTCTTGAGAACCAAGAATGGAAGCCGAAGCAAACAGCGGCAAAGCCAAAGACAAATGATGATAAGGTGCCCGATAGAAGAGCATCATGTGGGCCACTTCATCACCCACCATGCAGTCCGTCCCGTTTGATATCAATTCTGCTTCCCGCATTCCAATATCTGACACGCAGATAAGGTGATAAAGCTGCTGCTTTCACTTGGTCGAAAAGAGCACGCGACTAGATAGGGTACGGTAAGTACAGTAGTACGGTACAGTAGCACAGCCCGAAGGATTGGTTCGATGTATTGGATGTCCAAAAAGAAGGGTAGTGGTAACGTTGAGACAAATGACGATACGCGACCCTTCCCAGATACCAAGAAGCAAGGAAGGTAACCTCGTTCCCTCGTCACGGTGAGACGGGCCAGTCAAAAATAGAAAATATGTAAGTAGTGTAAATCAGACGAAGCTCTGCAACATCCTTTGTAGGTACGCACTGCATGCTGCAAGCAGGGTACCTGTAGCCCAGACAGGGTGACAGGACAGGACGAGTCCACCTCCAATGCAACGCTCGGCCAGCGTAATTCGTGACTAACTCCGTAAGGGCTGACATTGGTTGAACTAATGGCCGATTTGTTGAATGAAAGCACCGAATCCCAGGTATCTCTAGCATTCCCTGCTGATACACGAGTATACCAAAACTAGGGAGGAATGTAGAGACTGAGTGAGTGTAATGATCAGACTGATCAAAGCCACGGCGCAGTTTGAGACAGAAGGAATGCGATTCATGGATGCAAACAAGATGGCCTTGGGCGGAACGTTGTTGAAACAGACAGTCATAGATGACGGCTCTTAACTAGAGCACAGCCCGAGGAATAAGAGGGTAAAAGAATAGGAAACAAGGAAAAATCAAAAGACCAGAAAACTGAACACACGTGGAGTCGATTGGAGAGACAATGTTGAAGATCGGGGGGCTTGTCGCAGTTAGAAAAGACCCGGTTTGGGCAAGTGCCGAGGTGTAGTGTAAGTGGGAAAAGTATAAGTACAGTGGTCAAATAGCTGTTAGTGGAGCTCATTCAATTGGACAGCAAAAACTAACAATTTGGAGGCGAAGATACATACCTACCTCCACCTCAGCGAGCAGAGTTGCACCGCCCAACGAACTGTGCCGCAGAAAAAAAAGAGAAGTTCCAGCCACGGCGGCCGCCGCTTGGCAATGGTCATTCCGTCATCCTCTTTGGGCATCGTGGAAATCGTAGAGGAGGGGCGGAAAAGAGGGTCAAGCCAATCAAGAACGAATGCAAGATAAGCAAAAGAAAAAAAATAGGCCACCGGCCCGAATGAGATAGCCCATAACTTCGTATCTGTATCGTATATCGTGTCCGCCTGATGCTGGCGCTAAACCGTACTTCTGGGCAAACTACGGTTTGCATCATTTTCTGCGATCTCAAGGTTTCAGCGGATGGACGCCTGTGCAAGAACTCAAAATCAGGGTAGGATCGCAAATGAAGAAGGAAGCAGGCTAGCACGTGACCAAGTCTGGGGAACAAAGAGCTGATTTGTCAGAGTGTCTGCCATATCTCCACTTTCCCCAGCCTCCACTCCCTCGCTGCATCTCTCTTCCCCCGCTCCGCTCCCTGCCTGCATCTTGCCAATCTCCGGGGGGCTGCAGCCCAGTGGCTGAGAGTGCGGAGAAAGACGAGGTTGCCAGCGCCAGACTGAAAAAGGACACAATCTCACTCACCCACGAGAGTGCGCCCAGATATGAATGTGATACTCTGGTTGCCGAATTGAGGGGACTGATTGTGATAGTTGAAGCTCGGTTGTTGCATATATTGCGTGTCTGCATGTAACGTTTCTCCTACATCAAGTAGAAGACAGCCTGCTGTTCCCGGGCACTCCCATCCATTCCATCCGTGTTGTCAGTGTTGCCGAAAATGCCCAGACCTTTTTCTTGGGAAGTTCCAGATTCCAACACGGCATTCGGGCGGGTGGAACCAATCCAAGCGCTAAATTCAGGTTCTGGTTGTGTATTGTAGCATCATTTCCATGACGACAGTCATACTATCCTCTCAAGGTCAACTTTTCGACAGTTGTTGTCGTCGTCGTTGTCGTCGCAATAGCCTCGTCGGATCACAGTGACCCGACTCAAATCACACAACAGCTTACACGGACTGGTCTGTGGTTTCCTCCCACCGCATTGGATATCAGTCAGAAGCAAAGTGGTAATAGTGCGATTGGTCCCCAAGCAAACAATATCGCCGTCTAGGTTTAGGCTTTTTGGTTAGACGCGCGGAAAACTGACACGTGTTACAGCATGCCAAATTGTTTGCTCTCCAGGCCCTGTGCAGCCGGGTGGTCGACATCCGTCGGGTATCGGACGGGTGCAACGCCGAATCTTAATCTTATTGAAGAAACTTTAACTAAACTTGATGATGGAGACAGCTGATTGTTGTCGAGCTGGTGTCTGCCGTGATGCTCGAAGCACTGAGTCGAGTTGGTGGCAAGATGCCTCCTGTTGACTTGTTCTCCACCCCTCACGACAATTGCCGTTTTGTTACACCACGGAAAAATCATCACGGAGATGTCGAGGAATAGCGACAAGCGTCTTTAGCGGCGAGCCAACTTGATCAAATCCCATCTGGAACTGAGAGGAGGCGGCGATTGTCAAAGACGAGCCTGCCACAAAATTGAAGCCTGGAGACTCGTTCAAGGTTTCGCTTTGCCGTTTCTCTGATCCGGTGTGCGTTCTGGTAAAGTATCATGAGGTGCATCAAATGGTGACGGGGTCTGTCGTCGAGGAGCTCTGATTCGAGGCCGGACAGAGCCGAGGATCAACGCAAGGAAGACAGGCTGGCCATCCAACCACGACAAGCACTGATGGGGATTGAGAAATGAACTTTTGGAAACACCCCCCAGCGAGGCCTTCTCAATGTAACCACTGCAAGAAAAGTGTCAACATGAGCAGCCGACCCTCCATGACATTCAGGCTATGCGTCTCCCAGTGGATGTCAGGCATCCATGTCTGTGATTATGCTGACAGACGGCGCCCTGGGGGTAGACTTCTGCCAGCAGGGCATGGGGAGCTTGATTGGACGAACCAGAATTGCTGATTGGGCATGACAAAGAAACTGAAAGGGTTGGTCTGGGTATAAAAGGGAGTCCGACGACCCAAATATCGCCGACACATTTCCAAAAGATCTTGTGTTTCTGGGGATAATTCCAGCTTTTCGACGGATCGCCGACACGACAGTAACAAACGAGGGATGGATTGGGCATGCCGAGGGAGTCAACCTCCCGGTCCTGACCGCAACCAAGAATTCTGGGGATGCGAACCTCAAGTAACACCAATCCCGAACGCCGACGACTACCGACCGTCACCGTTACCATTGGGTATCACTATGTAGTGAACCCGGACAAGTGGCCATGATGCCGGCCGGAGGAGGCTCCTGGTAGGTCAGATGTGAACTTCGTTTTGGTGCAGAACGGAAGGAGAGCGGAAGGGCAACGAGAGCGGGGACGGGGTTGCCTCGGGGCGAAGGGTGGCAACTGCGTGGATCCACAACATCCGGCCGCCGACGGTCATGTGTGCAACTGGGCCGATGGAGGCCGGCAGATGAAACAGGGCTGCTACGGCGACGACTTTCCATGCTTCCCGGCCGAATCCTGACCGTTTCCCACCAGGCACAAGGGGACACCGAACCGCCACAGGAAATGAAAAGGGTCATCCCGGCCTTTTGTCCATGTGTCGACTTGGAGGCCGACAAATCCGCATTCATGCCGGCTGCTTGTCAAACCCTCACAAGGCGGAACGGTGTGAAGCAACGCAGATCCTCCGCTAAGAGTATAAATATATACACTGGCACCGACTCTGCGATTCATGTCTCGTCCTGGTCGGCGTGCGGGAGCGGATGGACACATATGGATGAGGCGGATGAGGTGGACGAGGTATGTGTGGAAGAAGGGGTGGGAACCCATGAGATGACAAGCTGTCAACATGTTTCGAATATGGGGGAAGGAGACGGGATGGCTGGGGATAGGTATGGATGTTTGGTAGAACGGCCACCGAAGCAGTGCCAGCAAAACAAGACGACCTCGTGTTCAGACGGCGGTCGGGTTGATGGAAGTCGTCCCCCAACATTGAACGAAGAGGGTCGCCGTTGTGCCCGCGAGTCAGGTAGTGTCTGATTGACAGGGGAGCTCCGTGATTGCCGAGCGAGGACTGTGTTTGGTCCGGGCCAGCGGAGCCTGTGAATATCAGCCGGGCCCCCACCCAACACCGAACTTGGACCGGCTATCTCGGTGAAGACATCGCGTTTTACCGTCGCATTGATTGTCTGGCTACAACTCGCCAGGAGCTGGGCAGCCACCGTTATTCGCTGTTTTGGCGGGGGGCATTGTCTGGGGATGTTGGCGGGTGGGACGACAATGATGTTCTGGCCGCAGGGTGAAAAAAATGGAGACGGAAGACGGGACAAATGGAAGAGCACAGACGACTCTTCAGGATATTGGCCAATGAGGTAGCGGGATCCTGGGCCTGCCTGCCGCAGAACGGCGCCCACATTCCACTTTGTTTCGCTGTCGTGGGGCCCCGAACCCCCCGACGTCGCCGCCAGCTCAATCCGCAAATCTACCCCGCCATGCTAAAGAAGGTCTCCAGCTCAGCATCGAATTGCAACGAAGGAGCCGCCAATCCCGGGCGGTCAGGAGATGGATTGGCGATGATGTATTCCATCCCGTCAGGGGCAATTGAATGAATGCTCTTCGCTACAAAATAGACCTCTCCGGATCCTCCCTCTCCGCAATCTGGCAAAGGCCCATCCCGGACCTGTTGTAATTACCGTCATCATTCCCGCGTTGTGACTGGCCTGGATTTGTTTTTTCTGTTGTTCCGCTTCCGTCCCTTTTTTTCGACTTCTTGCGGCATCTTTTTCCACTTCTTTTCTTCTTCTTCTTCTCTCCTCCAGCTCCTCCTCCTCTTCCTTGACTTCCTTCGCGATCCTTTTATTTCTGTGTCGTCAAGGAATCCTCATCTTCCCTTCTTCCCTCTCTCCCTCTCCACTCTACACTCTCTACTAATCACACCACATCACCAACCATGGCGTCGCCCATTGCCTCGGCGGCCCTCAGGGCCCGCGTCAAGCGCCCTTCCATGCTCAAGAAGCTCTGCAACCCCGAGGACATGCTCCAGCACTTCCCCAATGGCGCCTACATCGGCTGGTCCGGTTTCACCGGTGTCGGCTACCCCAAGTAAGTCACCCATGTGGCTGGAGGAAATACCGCATGCCAAACCACAAAAATGCTAACCCATGTGCTACAGGAAGGTCCCTACTATGCTCGCTGACCACGTCGAGAAGAACGGCCTCCAGGGCCAGCTCAAGTACAGCCTCTTCGTCGGTGCCTCCGCTGGCGCCGAGACCGAGAACCGCTGGGCTGCTCTCGACATGATCGCCCGCCGCGCTCCTCACCAGGTCGGCAAGAACATTGCCAAGGGCATCAACGAGGGTCGCATCAACTTCTTCGACAAGCACTTGTCCATGTTCCCCGTTGACCTTGTCTACGTAAGCGGCCGCGAATCTCGGTGGCGCATCGCAAACACTTTGCTAACCCCCATCGCTCAATCCACAGGGCTACTACACCAAGGACCGCCAGAACAAGAATCTCGATGTCGTCTGCGTTGAAGCTACCGAGATCAAGGAGGACGGTTCCATCGTCCTCGGTGCCTCGGTCGGTGCCACCCCCGAGCTCATCCAGATGGCCGACAAGGTCATCATTGAGGTCAACACGGCCATCCCCAGCTTCGACGGTCTCCACGATATCACCTTCTCCGACCTCCCTCCCAACCGCAAGCCCTACCTCATCCAGCAGTGCAGGGACCGCATCGGTACTACTTCGGTCCCCGTCGACCCCGAGAAGGTTGTCGGTATCATCGAGTGCACCACCCCCGATCAGACCCTCCCCAACTCCCCCGCCGACGAAACGGCTACGGCCATTGCCGGCCACCTGATTGAGTTCTTCGAGCACGAGGTCGCCCACGGCCGTCTGCCCAAGAACCTTCTCCCCCTGCAGTCCGGTATCGGCAACATCGCCAATGCCGTCATTGGTGGTCTCGAGACCTCCAACTTCAAGAACCTCAACGTCTGGACTGAGGTTATCCAGGATACCTTCCTCGACCTCTTCGACTCCGGCAAGCTTGACTTTGCCACCGCCACCTCGATCCGCTTCTCGCCCACCGGCTTCGAGCGCTTCTACAAGAACTGGGACAACTACTATGACAAGCTCCTCCTTCGCTCTCAGTCCGTCTCCAACGCTCCCGAGATCATCCGCCGTCTCGGTGTCATCGGCATGAACACCCCCGTCGAGGTCGACATCTACGCCCACGCCAACTCCACCAACGTCATGGGCTCCCGCATGCTCAACGGTCTCGGTGGTTCCGCCGATTTCCTCCGCAACTCCAAGTACTCCATCATGCACACCCCCTCCACCCGTCCCTCCAAGACCGACGCCCACGGTGTTTCGTGCATTGTCCCCATGTGCACCCACGTCGACCAGACCGAGCACGATCTCGACGTCATCGTTACCGAGAACGGTCTCGCCGATGTCCGCGGCCTCAGCCCCCGCGAGCGTGCCCGCGTCATCATTGACAAGTGCGCCCACGACGTCTACAAGCCCATCCTCAAGGCCTACTTCGAGAAGGCCGAGTTCGAGTGCCTCCGCAAGGGTATGGGCCACGAGCCCCACCTTCTCTTCAACTCTTTCGACATGCACAAGGCTCTTGTCGAGGAGGGCTCCATGGCCAAGGTCAAGTTCTAAATGCTTGGCTAGAGTCAGAGAGTGGATTTCTCGATTGGGCAGAGATAATGAGAGAGGAACAAGAGAGGAACAACAGTTGATCTTTGAATGAAACAAAGACAATTGGCTAAACAAACAAACGTGGTATGGCGGAAATGCATTGGTTAGGTGTTCATTTTTTCCGGTTCACGTATATATCTTTATTGGAAGGAGAGGAGAGGAAGATGGACGAGGAGAGAGGACCAGGATACCTGACCTATGTTGAGCGATAGGTCGCATTTCTGTTTTTTTTTTATATTGTCATACTTGTTTTGTATATGGGATCGGACGGGGGGCTAGGATTGGCTTTGTCTCTCTATGGTCTCTTAGATCAAGGGCGTTTTGTGTGGACGTCGTTTGTATATATACCTATACACATACATGCATTCATTCATACAAATCTTGGACCGCGGTGCAAAAATGGTGAAGTTGTTGAGGCTTGGGTTAACCTTGCTGGAGGCACGTTTTTGGAGGCAGGAATGCGGTCGCTTCACACAAGTCCTGGCTCACCACGACAAAAATGGTGGCTATCGTAGAGAGACGATTACAACAGCTTATGGCATGATGTTTCTCTTGGACGGAGCTGGTTCTAACAAGGGAAAACAGCAAATAACACGACTGTGGAGGGTGGGTGTGGATTTCTGAACGAATGATGGGACTCAAAAGATGGAACTGTTCCTCAACTCAACAATGTCGTCGACTTCAACTTCAATGCAGCATTGTGGTTCCATCTTGATGCCTTCCTGCGAGCGGGTAGAGGTAGTCCGTACGACGGGAGTTCGAATAGACAAACCTACCTAGTCGTAAAAGGCTGTCAAGGGCTGGAAGAAGGAACACAACGAACTGAAGCCAATTACAATGCCCATGCCCCATGCCCATACCCATGCGTAACTAACCGACCACTTACACCCGTAACAGGCTTGGTCTAGCTACTGTACTTACTTACCTACAGTAGCTTACTCCGAAACGTCCGGGTCCCATGATCCTATCCAGTCGGCTCCTAGAACTAATCGGTAGAGGTAGGTAAGGTAGGTACCCAATCGGTTCTCTTCCCTTCTTAGCCGACGCAACCGACCAGCTACCCACCCAGGTACCTCAGCTACGTAGCTGCCCTCCCAGGATGCCGCGCGGCGCCGACGACAAAGAAACTCAACACCGGCTCAGTAAGGCAGCTGAAAGGAGAAAAGCCCTGTGGGTCCGATTGTGTCCCTGCCCCTGGTCAAGGTCCCTGGTCTAGACTAGTGTATGTCCCGACTGGCTGGGCTGGCTGGCTAAGGGGATTGATTCGGTCTGGTCGTGGTCGGGTACTGCGCCCGGACTTTCCTTTTTTTTTTTTTATTTTTTTTTATTTTTTTTTTTTTTTTTTTTTTTTTTTTTTTTTTTGGATTGGTCAAGGAACTAGACACTTTGTAATACCTGTTACTAATACTAATGAATGTGATCATGTATCAATGCCCAGCCTGCTGCTTCTTCTTTCTGCATGCCTTTTTTTTTGGGGTTCTTCTTGCATGAGGCACGAGCACATGTGACATGGAAATAAAGGGTTTGCGCCCTTTACAGCACCTGCACGCGCATTTTACACACTTTCTTTTTCTTTTTTTTTCTTTTCTTTTGTCTCGTTCCTCTGATTGTGTTAATACAGCCTTGCCGTTGTTTCTCTCTTGTTTCTTTCTTTGTTTTTTTTTTCGTCTCCTTCTTTCGTGTCTCTCTCTCTCTTTTTTTTTTTTTTTTTTTTTTTTTACTGGTGTTCTTTTTTGCGCAAGTCTCATCTGCCAAAATGGTAAGTTTCTACCTCGGACTCCCCTCGTTCATCGCACGAGGCCACCAAACTATGATTCAGTTTGCCCTATGACTATGGAAAAACTCAGCACTGTCCGAACGCCTTCCTTTTTCTTGTCCAGCCATTGTTCATGCCGCACGAGAACCAGGTGTAGGTAAGCACTCAAAAACTAGGACCTGCTATGACGTGGAAAAGCCGATGGGCAGGCGCTGTGATGGAAAATGCCTCTCCTTGGTTTTGTTCAATTCTGTAAGCTCGCTGCACGGCATTAACGCATTCCTTCTGCCTGCTTTGGATGTTGGATGGAACCAAACGCCCGCCATGTTAAAGTCGAGTCAAAATCCCGATTTCCCATGATGATGATGATGATTGTGTTGACAGAGTTAAGGAAGCTCAGCTAAGGCGAGCAACAAAGTACAACATGAATTTCCCAGAAATGGGTGTTTGACGAAGGGCGAACGGGCGATTGCAATGCTGAAAAGCGATGTCCGACATACTGTCTGGGTTGCTTCAATGTTGTATGTTGTTACATGTAGCCAGGTCTGGAGCTCCGTGGCTTCAAACTGAAAATCCGGACCATGCATCACGCACGCAGCTGTCGTCGAAACCAAGACTGTCCTTATCAAATCATACCTATGCAGGATATTCAGGAAATTGTTTCGACGAATGCCTCCAGAACTTGGATACAATGCTGCAACAGAAGCACAGGACAGGAAACAAAATAATTGGCTTTTTCCCAGTTGAAAAGTACATAACCGGTCCCCCAGCATCTTTTCTCTTTTCTCTTTTCTTCCCCTTCTCTTTGTGTTTAACAATCAGAGAAAGCATCCTCCAAGACCATCGAGGCGATACAAAAAAATCCTCTATTGAAAGAATTCGAACCACTATCAACCAACAGCTCCGTCATCCCAGACATAGTCCTCACTTCAACAACTTGCCGTCTGTCTCCTTCTTATCAACACACCTACACGAGAGACCAACATGACAGGCAAAGACCTCAAAACGCTGGGACAAGAACTCCGCAGGATGGAAAGGTACCAAGAGTTGACCAGGATGAACCAAGAGAATCGAGAAACCGACCCATGGGCCAACGCCATGCACCAGGACATCCATGACAGCAGCTCTTCCAGTAACACCAACTCTCCCACCCTCAACAACAACAAAAACAACAACAACCCCTCTCGTCGCCACGCAACCGAGCTTGCACGCTCATCAGAGTCTACCGCTCTCCCTACTCCTCCCCAAACACCACCATCTTCATCTTGCCCGCCACCACAGTCACCACCAGCCTACACCCCCCCTCCCACCGCCCAAGCTCGCGCTCGCGCCCGCCTCGGCTACGTCGGTGTCAAATCATCCCTGCCCAACACCTTTTCCCCCTGGGGCGAAGGCACAGCGGGAACCGACATCGACGACATTGGCAGACCAGCACAAGACAGGCCGCGACCACCACCATACATCTTCCACGCCCGCGACAGATTTCTCGAGACCGGCCTACCTGCAACCTTTGATACCTCTAGTCACACCTCCTCACCATATCCATATTCTTCTTCTTCGCCGTCAGCCTATCATGGTACCTCTACATATATGGCTCCGAGTCATCCCAAGGCGGCGGCGCTCTTCGGCGGCGCTACGACAACAACAACAACCAGCGACGACAACAACCGCAGTGCAGAAACTAGTACTACTACTACTACACCGCGTGCACCATCCCGTGCTTATGGTGTGGCTCGTCGCGTTGCACTTTATAGCAATATAACAACACCAGCAACACCAACAACGGGTAAAAGAAAGAGCAATAACCGCAATATATGGGGCGGAAGAAGAAGAAGCTTCAGAAGCATCAGAACTGTGGACTACATGCTTGATCTTGAGCGGGGTAACCCGGTCCACAAGGAGACGGACGTGAAGAAATATGCCACTGCGGTTTTCTTGGCGATCATTGTGATCTTGATTTTTAGTTGTACAGTTGTGTACTTTACCTCACAAGGTTGAGCGTGTTGGTGGTGTAGTTTCCGCAGCCAGGGCTCTGTGACTACACGCGCCCGGCTGTTTCTGTCTATTCTTACTGGGTTTTTCTTTTATATGAATGAAATGGTTGGACGGGGTATCTGACTGATCGCCGTGGTTTGAGGTATCGAGTTCGTAGAAAAGGACACGGTCAAGGGAAGAAGTTAGCGGATTGGTTTCCTGTCTTATGGACTTCAGCTTTGTCTCTTGACGGTGCACTGGTCATGTATAGGAAGACGAAGACAGCGGCGGCGAACATTGGAATATAACTATTTGTTCCAGACTACTCCCGCCTTTTCCCGTAATTGGCCCTTCGTAGACTGGAGAGACAAGTGCTACGAGACCCGATTTCAGGAACTTCTGCGGCCATAAGGCTCAAAGGGAAAGAAGGCGCTCAGAACCCCCATCGCCACAAGTAACGCTCCGCAGATGTAGAGGGGCGCACTAGTCGAAGTGTTCGACACAGTAGCAATAACAGCCGAGAGGATTCCCATGACACGGTTGCAAGCCACTGCCACTCCGTTTCCCGTCGCTCGGTGGGCACTGGGGAGAACTTCTGGCGTGTAGGCATACAGGGTGCCATAGTAGATGTTGAGGCAGAAAGCAATAGAGCAAGAGAAGCCGACATCTTGGGAACCGTTGCGGACGGATGTGTAGGCGAAGAAGAAGGCAGCTGTCATCAGTGTTCCGATGAGCATCGTATATCGACGTCCGAGAAAAGGTATGTTGCACATCCAACCCGCTAGCAACGGTCCAAAGATAGAACTGATGTTGGTGAGGGTGTAATTGCGCCAGGTTTCGAAGGGCGAGACGTCCAGGTTCGCTCCGCGGGAGGCGAGATAGCTAGGTAGGAAGACGTAGAACAGAGGGTAAGCTAAACCCATCATGGCCCATGACACCCAAATCAGTGACGTTGAAAGGGCTATCTTGGGAGTCGAGAACAGTCCCCGAAGATGTACAAGCGTCTCTGCGAAGGAAAAGCGGTTCTTGCTGTGAGTGCCCAACACAACACCACATGCATCGAGCTTGTCGACAGTCAGAGAGCAGTGTCGGTTGTACTTTGACGCCAGGAACTGGAATGTTTCAACAACCTGGGCATCTTCGCCCAAAGCAAGGAGATATTTTGGCGTCTCTCTTAGTCGAATGACGGTGACTCGAAGGATGGACATGACGAAGACAAGGGCGCCGCTGGTGAACATGACGTATCTCCACCCCATGTTGTTTAGCCTTGTGCAGACATCGACCGACGGACAATTCCATTTCTCGGGGACTGACATTCCGTGTTAGTCACTCATTTTCTCCCATCAGAAGATCAAGATCGAAGGAGAATCCCTCACCTAAAAAACCCCATGCCACAAATCCAGTAACAGCCTGGCCCAGTCCCCACCACCCAGCCATCAGAGTAAGCACCCACTGCTTGTTCCCAGGCAGATATTCCAAAAAGACGGTGGTATCCAAGACCAGGTTTCCTCCAGCACCGAACCCGATAAGCGCGATCCACAAGCCCAGAGACGGCCAGTTCGGCATGGCCCCAGCAATGATGACGGAGACCGAGCACAGCAGGAGGGAGACGTTGAAGGCGAACCGGCGGCCAATGATGTCAGCACCCAAGCCCCAGAACAAAGCTCCGATGAGCATGCCGACATAGCCAGCAATGGTCATGGCGTTGGCATATCCATGTTGTCCGAACTCGCGGAAAGCTGGACCGGCGATGACGCCTTGGAGGAGAAGGACGAGGGAGTCGACGGCGTATCTGGCCAATGTGGTAAGTTCATGGGGTGGTGGGAATGGAGTCGGCTCACGCACCCAAAACCGTTGAGGATGAAGAGCTTGGTGTGGTAGGGTGTCCATCCGATCTCGTCAATGGCCTGTCGCGAATCGAGTTTGTTAGCGCAAGAGTACAGAGGATGATGAACAGGAAGCATAGCCGTCCTCACATTGTTGACCAAATGCATCTTCCTATTGAGAGCTGGGTCGAGGTCTTGTAGGCCCAAGATATCTTCGCCATCATGAGTAGTAGTTCTGCTGACGGCCTGAACACTTCCGGCGCCAGATTTGGTGTCTTGCTGTTCGTGGTCGTTGGATTCAACCTTCTCAGGTACCGGAGAGGTCACCATATCGGAGCTGTGCGTGAAGCGTGGAAGGTGGTGGTAAGGTGCAGCGGAACAGATATCCAAGAAAGAGAAATGGGACTACTTCTGGGGCCATCCGGTCGATTAAAAACGGAACGCGATCAGTCTCGTGGTTCAAGTCTGGTTAATAGAACTTTGGAGGAGAGAACAGAGGAGCCGAGAGGACGAAAACGTAAGAATGCAAAGGCGGGGGATCGGCACAAAATGTTGGGGACTTTGGCTGGTGATGGATGTACTCTCAGACCGAATAGGAAGGAGCGCTGGGGAGGCACAAGTCCAAGCCTGTGCAATGGCGTTCCCTGCCAGCTGCCGTCGTCTCACATGAATCTTGGAGGATTCAATGTAGTGTAGCTGATGGGTCATCACGCCATTCACTTGATAGCCTGGTTGAGTCGTGATCGTCGAGTTTAGACGCTATACACCACACGTGCTGGAAAGCTTCATGTGAAAGAGGAAATGTCAAGACCTCATCCAAGGAAGCCCCTCGGCCCCCACACATAGTCCGGGTTTGCACTCCACTTTCCCCAAGTAAACCCCAATTATCTCGACGAATGACAACCCATCGAAAAAGCCGATGCATTCATTGGGAAGATCTAATTCGTAGCTTCAATGCTCGGTATACCAACCCCTGACCCTGCCTCAGTCAAGTGCTACAGAATGCCCAGTCCGCTACAGTTGATAAGGTTCGTTGGAGGTTGGTAATCCATCAAGTCATAACGGAACCCAAGCCTCCTTCGTTGCTTATTCGCACACGGCAGGCATATGCGAGTCTGCGGCGCGAGGACGCGGCTCCCTCGGTCTTACGGGGCTTGGGGCAGGTCACTGATGATATCGTAGGCGCCACGGCCCAAGTTGACAGACCTGTGAGGAGACTCCTTGGGCACAAATCCGCGCCAAGGCTCGTCCTCAACCACAGGAGCTAGCAGCGACCAGATCCACAAGTTCGTCCCGTCCCTTCTCAGCTCAGGTCTCCGCTAACAACACTAACGCTCGACCCCCTATAACCTCGGCGCAACGATACTAAAGTATTAACACCACTATCACTTACAACAAAGGCGTTCACTAACCTGCCCGCCCCTGCAGACTCCACAGACACAAACACCTCACTGGCAAAATAATACTACCACGCCGTCGACAGACAAGCCACAAACAGCCAAAGAAGCAATGGAAACTCAAAGGAATAAAGCACAAGGAAAGTTTCGACGCAGCGAATTCTACCGACGGGCTGTTATGGTATTCTATCGACGGGGTGTCTAGCTCTGGACCGGCCACATGTGACATGATTGTGGTAATGGTTGAAGTCGCACCAAACATGACCAGTGAAGACAATCGAGGACAGTAGAGGGGCATTTTCTTGCATGAAAACATGTGTGATTAAGACAGAAGAAGATCAAGGGAGAGAAAGAAAGTATGACATGGACCGAAAGAAAGGAGTAGCCAAGGGTAGGGTACTCTCTAGTCTTGTTGCCTGTGTCCCTCATCTGCGTCTACTACGTGTATAGTTGTGGCCACGACAAACCGTACAACGAAAGCGGGCAAAACATGACCAAGATCTGGGAATAGAGCTTATTTAATAGTAATAAAAACTACCAGAACGCTATCTCTAGGGCAGTCTATCTAGCCAAGGAATGCTCAAGGGACCACAAGTGATAATGATCGCTCAAACCCATCTTGCAGAACCCAGCTCCAGAGGAACCAAATCCCATGTCAGTTGAGAAAGAGGCAGGAAGAGATCTAAAAGAAACAGCTGGGCATCAAAACCGTGAGCAGAAAAAAAAAAAAAAACGTAATAAGCCCGGGCCTTGCCGTCCCGTGACCTCCACGCATCGACTCTAATTCCAGGCCGTTCGTTCCAAGCTTCCGATCCGGGACTCCACATGAAATTTAAAGACCGGATTACCAGACACTCGGACAGAGACCAGCTCAGCTTACAACTGGCATATACCAACTTATCCTTCAATCTCCGTTGTATTATATCGCAATTTTGCCCTCGGCCTCACTCGATGCAACTACGATCCAGCACCACCCCAGATACACAAGTCCCGAACGCAAATCTATTCATCATCTTGCACCAACGGGTGAAAAGAAGAATCCCTTAGATGAGTAATGTGTTCTTCCATGTTCAGGCTCGTCGGGCCGTGGGTTTTGCACTCGTACATCTTTGGCTGCTTCATTTGCAGGCACTGGTATAGTCTGCGGAGATGCATTAGGTGGTTGTGGTAGCTTTTTGTAGTATGGCCGCATCGACCACACATAAACAATCTAGTTGACGCTCTATCGTCCTCGAGATGGGAGAGGTGTTCTTCTTTATCGAGACTCGTTGGGCCGTGGTGTATGCACTCGTACATGGCTGGTTGGGCCATCTCCCGGCACGCCCGTTGTCTGTCGAGATGCGCTATGTGGAGATTGCGATGGTCCGTAGTATAGCCGCATCGACCACATTTATATTGCCCTACGATTTGGGGGTTTGGATCGAACTATTATAGTGCTGCTGGCGATGGGATGCTGTAGTGAAATCTCGGTCTACGCAGCCTTGAAGGCAAGGGAAGGGATGTTGTGTCCTTATGTGATATCTGCAGCATGACGGGTGTTAGCCCAAGGTTTTGCATTCCAACGCCCATCTGTTATCGTCGCTCTTTTTGCCCGCCTTTGTTGAAGTTCTTGTGCTCCATCTCTGGGCAACTTCCACTTACATCAAGTCAGTCTCGCTGTAGAGTGTGCCTCCTCGACCCTTTCGGAAACAATAACGACATTCTTCTCTAGCCTCGTCAGAAGACTGTGGAGAATGGAGCGGCAATATCAGCTCCGCCGCCTGCCTTGTGATATCAAAGTTATGCTGCTCTGATGAGATTG